GATATACAGACGGCGATTCTGCTGAGCGAATACCGGACATCGACGCGAGCCACCACGGATAATAAGCTTCAAATCCACAGGAGTTACGCAAAGGGGGAGACAGTCGCTTCCCAGTTACTTCGTGGAAGACTCAGCGGCGTTCAAATTAATTTTGCCGAAGTTCCACTGTCTCTCTCTCATTCTCTTTCCTTTCCTCCGGTTAAATTATTAATACCGTCGGAAACCGGGCGCCTGCTGACTCGCTTGTCCCCCCGTTAAATACGCTGTTTAATTAGGAAATCCGCAATTGCGGCTAAGGCGGGAATTGTCAACGGTTTTCGCCAGCTATCGCGGTGTCCCGTCGGAACGGTCCCGGCTAACTGTAACCTTTTCGCACGATGACCACCGGTCAGACGACAGATTGCCCGTATGTATACATACAGTTCCAGCCGCTGGACAGTGGATACGCCGTGCGACGCGTATAGGTGGCCGGCCAGTGAAACGAGCTTAAAACTATTCCGACGCAGACCGCGTCGCCCCGCGTCGTGTTGCATTGCGTCGTGTCGACGTGCAATTACCGGGTTAACTAGAATTTTCGAAATTACATGCTAGAATATCCGGCCGACCCGGAACGAAATTTCTCCCCCGCCCATCCCTCGGAACTTTCTTTTTAACCGAGATGAAGTGGTCGAATTCGAACAGGGGGAGGGTGGGGCGATGGCTGACGATAGAGCGGTTTGGTGATAGCGGAACTGACTTTCCGTAATTTCTTGCGCCTCCAAACTGTCGAAATTAAAGCGGGAATGTGATTGAATTCCAGAGAATAATGGTATACTCGGTGCCGCCGGAATATTATGTTCATGCGTACATGTTTGCGCGAAAATTGCCGTGAGCCCAGTTAGACCGCTGGCGCAACATCGTAGAAAGATTCGATTATGCGCGCGATATTAATTTCGACGGTCGGACGAGGACAGAAAATACAATTTCACATAGTTTCTAGCTGTGTCGCATGATTATTCCCGTTGGTTAACAGTGGCACGGTAGCGATTCTCAATCAAAAGAGACGGCGAACAGACAGAATCACGGTGGTGAAGCAAAAGTTGCGTTCAATGTTAGGTGAGGATTTAGTGGTGCCTCGACCGCAGACAGAAGATAAGATAATGATAGGTAATTCTCTCGGGCACTTACTGGCCCGATAAAAATCTGGGAAATCCGATGAAAGAACGCAATCCCCATGAATCGCCAATTTTCTTCGCCGCGCAGCAACAATGGTCCGAAACTGAAGCACGTTTTACATCGGAACGGTCAATAAACCTGTCTCGATTGTTAACTCGCCGATATTAAACGCCTCTTTATCCCTATCCCCGGTTCCAATCCATCGTCCGCATCGGCTGTTCGGCGAATACATTAGGCTAACCGGGCATATTCCATGGGGCGGAGTAGAAGTAGACGCATCGATCGTCATAAGTGAATCCCGTCCCTTGGATATAACCGGAGACGTACTTGGAATACTAGGTGGTCTCCTAAGAATTTTGAGAGGGACGTCTCATGAATGCAAATTAAAACGTTTACCCCGCTCTCTATCGCGCACCTCTTTTCTCTCGTTCCCGTTTATTCGACTCACGGCATAAACGGTGTTCAAAAGTCGATAAGCCACGGACCAGGCTCGCCGTTAAATAATGAATGCCGTTTAAACAGGTCTGCCTTCTAAACATTCCTCCGCGCGTTACCCCGCTTGCCTCCAGTCTCTTTTCCGTTTTCCATTTCTTCCACGCTTTCGACCGCCACATTTTTTTAGCCGGACCGCGTATTAGGTTCGCCCGAAAGCTGAATTGGACCCGGCGAGCGGTCAGTAAACCGGAAATTACCGTGGATTACACGAGTCCGCCGCGCTTGAGTTTCGCGTTGAACTGGAAGGAAAACAGCGTGTGCGTTCATATTTCGCGTACGATCCTTCGCCGCGTTAGAGATAGAAACCGCATTAACGTCGAAAGTGAATTAAAATTCGCAAATTACGTTGCCGGCGCGCAACCGTCGAGCCGCTATTGCCTCGGCGCAACGGCACGGTGGCGTGGCACGATTATTCAATTAGGAGCCGACCACTCGTCGCCGGGCTCGGCCCGATTCCTTGTATTTTTTCGGACTCTGACCGGCTCATTAATTCTCCTTCGCCCGCGCAACGGTATTGTCCGATTTAATGAATCGCTCGACAATGCGACTGCTCTCGTTTGGACTTTGTTGACCGCCGCGGCTCCTGCGTTGCCCCTTCCGCGTTCATAATCTTCCGTTCCCGCGATAATTGACCACTAACGAAGCGAAACGGCATAGCAATCACGCGACGTCTGCGAGGCTAACCCAGTTACCGAAGATTTAAGAAAATCTATGTTGATTTATTTTACGGGAATGCGATGTTAAAACAGAGGCTGTGCCTCCGGTGAATATATTTGCAGAAAAATCTTGAGAGCATGCAGATAAGGTAGTTATTCAAACTGTCATGCGATAATGGCGTCACTCGAGAGAACAAGAAGCGACTAGAATCAGTTTAAAGGAGAGAGCGCGGGTACAAAGAATATTTTCGATATGCTAATAATCCCGAGTACGATATCCGGGTATGCTCGTAAGTCTATGATCCAAACACTGATGCAACATTCATGAGCCGTCGTACGTATCACTTCACCCTTTCAGTTTGGATGCAGTAAATCCTTGTCATATCGTATCTCGGTCGGGTTTCGGGCATTAAACAACCTTCTCGCGACCGTCTCTTCCGAAGTGTGATTTTTTTTCATGCTGATTTACGAACGCCGCTCCCTTTGACGGGTTAACGTATTACAGGAACAACGCGGGACAGATACAATAGGAATAATTTTACAAAAGCGAGTTGTAACGAAGGGGAATGATAAAGGAGAATAGATTATCCGGCAAGATGATTTAAGAGGTACACAGGCATGATTATGGCTCCCTTTGACAAGTATAATTTTTCGTTAGACGTGTCGTTCGCGAGGACGTAATTGTTTTATGAAATAAAATCGTCCTTTTGTTCAGTAGGTATTATTTTCGGTGGTCTGAAAAAGATTTGTAAAAGATATTAAATGAAGTGGTTAAAACTGGCCGGAGATTATGTACGTTAAGCTAAAGAATACGATACTTTTAATTCCTTTTACTGTGCCCGAGGAACTTTAGAATATTCTTTTCGCAAAGTAGCTTATCTCTTTACGTTTAACAAAAAAGTTTTTGTTTTCAACTTCTGCGTTTAACTGAGCAATCTTTTTCTCTTCGAACTTAATGGACTATCAGTTTTTAATAAAGAACTCTGTACACGATATATTGAGGTGCGTTGGAAAATGAATTAAACGAGTTAAATTTATTATATATATACATATCATTTGCTCTGTCCGTTGCGTACTTTCGTTATTTGTTTTACATTCCAAAACCATCCTGCAATTTCGAAATCAGTTTCATATTAAATTACTAGGCGGAATTCCTCATTAGAGTGTGTAACAAATTAACAAAAGTTTATCTGTTTCTGTTTAATTTTATATAATTCCCTCTGCAACGATCACACATTCATGAAACAAAATTGTGGAAAGGGAAATTTTTCGCAGAATGAATTATTCATGACGAGCAATATTGTCAAATAAATTGCTTTACTATGTAACATTTTGATACAACAATTACACGATGTTCACCACTTATTGTAATCATGAGAAACGTGCAATGCAAAACGACAGGAGCTTTTTTTTTTCCAAGCTTCGTCCTGTCCTGTTGAAACAGCGCATGCCTGTTTATACATAGCAGGCTTTTGAAGCGTCTGTACGTTTCACGCGTCGCGTGACGGCCAACTAATTACGCAAACAACCCGATGAACCAGACAAACAATACATTAATACTCTTTGTGTCCCGTAATTAACGTGGTTATCGATTAATTGAAACCGATCGCGCTGAAACGAACACGACGTACCGGGCGCAAGATCACAAGAGTAACGCGAGGATATTTCACATCGCGTTTCCGAACTCATTTTTCTGTTCCGCCGCGTGGGTTCGTTCGGTAACGCGGCGTCACCGAGTAGAATAGAAGTGGAACGGGAGCAGCGCTGGTCGAAAGCTAGAAATTCTAGCGTTGAAGACGGCGACGACAACTCTCCCTCCGGTTGAGGTAAACCCTGAATTTCGCATTTGTACCGCGTTGTCGAGCTTACGACCTTGCAAATAGTTGTCTGTTTATCCACATGAAATTTACGACTCTCCGCGAAAATATATTTTCCGTAGGATGTACACGCCGGTACGTACGTGAATGTACCGGTACATATGTACGGTGCGCGGTGTGTGTATGTATGTATGTATGTATGTACAGGAAGAGTTCAACATATCAGTAGTACCTAAGATCCTTTGTAAACTATTAAAATCCGCGGAAACGGCGAGAAATGAATTACCAGCTATGAACCAGCATTAATGAAATTTATTATGGTATACCGTCGCATTGTAATTTATATAGCTCATAGCGCAGTTTATTGCTGCACGTAAGTACGAGTATAATTGAACACAAAGAGAAAATTGTATATAAAGATTACTAGCATACTTACGGGCTTTAAGATTAAGATTGCAATAATATACGCATAATCCACGTCTATTAGAATAATATTACGACATTCTAGGATCAATACAAATACGTGTATATCAGTTTCGGATTTATTTGGACGCCGCTAGCGTGGCGATACATGAGCTACTAGTTATTGGGTAGTTTGGTTTCCTGGTTACCATAATTATCGCCGCTGCAATCGCAATTAGGGATTCTCTTAGGATTATAAGTACTATGATAGAAACTGTGTTTGCTGAAATCCGCCTAAATTGGGAATCCCAAGCTATTCGAGTTCCCCTATCACATTCGACGGTTTAATTAATTGTCTGTTTTATTAATCTGTCAATTATGTTCTTTCAATTCCCACTACATTTATCATGCTTGTTTTATATTGTACTTATAACGTGACCGCACATTAAATTTTATTATCCTTCTCTCTTTACAGCGTCCCTGTGCAACATGATTTTCAGTAGCGATTCGACGAAGAAAGGAGTGGTCACGTCGCCAGGATATCCGAATCCTTACCCGCCGAGGACGCATTGTACATACGAGTTCCAAGGACGGGGAAAAGAACGAGTTCAAGTGGTGTTCCAGGATTTGAACTTATATCATACGTCGAACATGGCGAAAGAGTAAGTTTGATCCATGTTATAAATATCGTTTATTGAATTAGTTCAATCTCACTTAAATTCATTAAAAGAAGTAATTAACTTTTACTGTGTAAAGGATTAAGCAACATTCATCTGCGTCCGAACACTGCTTTATTATAGTATTTTTATTCTATGTTAATTTACGTTTCGATATTTTTTCTATAACTCAAACATGTAGAAAGCGACGCAATTAGCGTGCCGGGAAACCGTTTGCACAGTAAAGGTTAATAATTTTCATTTGGCTAGTTTAAATAATTGTACGAGCAAAAATGTCCTTTGAAAAATTTTGTCCAACTCGACAAAAGAGAATGAAAGTACTGGCAACCCATTTGAATAATTGTCACATAGAGCTGTAGGTAATGTTCTTCAAAAATGTTCTTTGAACTCCCTTTTTCGAATCTTGTTCGTCGCACAACTCCTAAGAGACTCGACCTCGTAACTCGTGAACAAATACTGATATCTGCTGCTTGATCAATGCCGACATCCACTGCATATATGTATGTATGTATACATATGTACGTACGTACGCAGGTATTCTTAAAATCTTCACTTGCCAAACATTGCGCTCACGTTCCGTTCTGCCACTCTCCTGAAAAACATATTTCCCTGGCATTGTGTCTGCGCTGCAGGTAAAATCGTAAAAATAGGAAAGTGGAACGAGTGGTATCAGTTTCATAGACCCGCCTAGAGTGTCTAGAATAGAGCACATGGGAATTTGACAGACATATTCATTGCAAACAGATCTACTGGCAACCAGATATGAGTACCTCAAATTGTACTGATCGTCGCATTTTGAAAATACTATATTAGAGAGATCTCATGAAACGTCTCTACATGAAAAAAAAAATCCTGTCAGAGCGATTCACTGTTCGGAATGTAGAACACCAGTGTAGTTATTTTATATTTAAGTCCGTCTATCGTTTTTAGAGCTTTCAAACCATATAAAAGCGTGCATTAGAACATGTTTCGCAGAACGTCGTCGAATTCATCTTTTCTCATTCTTCGTAATAATAATATGCAAAATAAAAATCCAAACATAAATCAGAGAAGCTGTTAGACTTGATATTTATTATATTGTTGTATTTCCAAACAATGGGTATTCTCCTCTGGCTGCTGCGACGTTTTTCTATGGGGGAAAGTTTCAAAAATAAATTTTGTACAATCACCGGCCCCGAACGTTAATTTGAGCTTTGAAAGAATCGATGGTACGACGCGCACTGGCGCGCTCTGTTTCCGTCACGTTTTCATCGTGCCTATCAAAAGGCAGTGTAGAATTTGTCGACCGCGGTTCTAAGCTCCGCTCGACGTGTGCCTTCAAATACAATTTCGAGAGAGTGCATCGAGTGGCGGTGGCCGAATTCCGCCATTAGCGTGCCGACTGATCGACGAGTTCGTTTCGTTGTCCGTGGACGGGGCTCGAACGTGGAACTGGAATTCTGCTTGTCCTTGTGAAAAGCATGGGAACCGACAGTTGTGATCGATTTCACGAGAGCGCACACGTGAGCTGCATCTCTAAGCCGCGTTCCGCGTATCGCGACTATACATATACGCGTGCGTACATGTTTCATGTCCACGATTTTTCTCGACCACTTAGTTAATTGGCAAAACTCATCCACTGGACGCACCGTCCCCTAATCGGTGATTAGTTAAGCTGCGATTTTAGAATACGATGCTTGATTGCTGAGCCAACAATTTGTATTATGTTCATACAAAAACCGTATTTGTATGTCATTGCGTTTCTATCTTAATCAATTTCCTATGGACTAATTCTATCGTTCGTAGTTGTTATTCGGAGGCTATTGTGACCGCAACGTAGCCTCAGGCATTTCAATATCATTATTACCGATATAGATAAACTGGTCAATTCTCTGTACGATTTCTGATAGGAGAACGTAAAACTGTATTTGCAACTTTAAAGGCGATCAATTAATACGTAACGTAGAATAGCTCGGTCGTTTCATTTATCATTGTTTGATGCGTGTTTTAATTATACGGGAATTCCATTGGAACGTAATTAAAGAATGCAAATACATGGTGTACAGCGAATTTGATGTTTGATGCTGATACGGTTTGTTTTAACGATAAATCTGGGCTTTTAATTATGCGCTCCGTTTAATATTCCATCCAGATACGAAGAAACCGGACCGAACGAGTCCATGGAAATTCGAAAGGCCGTTTATATTAATTCATTGATAAAACAGCGGATGAATTATTAAGCTGTTCTTATGTGAAAGGAACGTTTCAGGTAATTCATAATGATAGATACCAACGTCGAAATTCGTTATCAATCTTATCAAGTTCGTAACAGATTCTGGATTCATATTTCTGACGTGTAACTTAAATATTATACAGTGTGAAATATCGATATTCCGCTGCGTCTCCTCGGGATTCACACGTTTCGTTCCAACCAGCCACAAAACAAGTAATAAACATAAAAGTAGAGATATTCAAACCAGACGGTGAAAAATGTAAAGAAAAATTCAGTGTCTAGATCCGACCAACTTTTCCTACAACATTTTATCAGTTCAGAAGGATACGTTCCGTCTTGCAGTTAACAAGAATTTCAAGACACACAAAACGAGTTGTCCCCTGTAATATATTTCCGGGACGTGATTGAAATCGGACGTAGAAGCCGTGCCTGACACACTGTTCGATCATTGCGCAGGTTGTGAGACCGAAAAGTCGAAACGGTAAACGATGTTCGCGAACAAGCGACCCGTATGGAGGAGAGATGCTCACAATCATAGGGAACGTAGAGATCGGCATTCGCAGAATTCGTGGCTATATAACCCGACGCCCTCCTGACAACAGCTATCACGATTGGTCATCCTCTCGTTCATTTTCCACGTGCCTGGCCTTAAACGCCGTTTAATTGCCGCTGGCACGTTTCATCGTGCGGTCACTCGAGTAATGTTCCTCTGCCCTCGTAATTGATTCTGTTGAGTTTCCGGTAAAATCAGAGATAATCATGTGTAACAGCATCGTCCGCCGCGGGCTGAGTTTGGTAAATAAGGGAACTTTGATAAGCCAAGTCAAAGAAAGCAACGATTCGTTCGTCTGCTCCTTTTTTTTTTGTCAAATTAATGAAAACCTGAGCGGTATTAATTAGAAATGTTGAACGCGGTGGCAGCAGCTGCGTTACGGAACCGTTCGTGCGTTATGCTTCTTTGACGGGCATCATTACTTACGATATAATATCGCGAGACTGTAAACGCAACTTACAGGGGAATATTTTGCGTAGAGATACCGCTAATGCAATTTGGCAGACCGTTCGACTGCGGAAAACTTTGGAACGCGATACGAACACCGCGGTGATTAACGCGATGGAAATTAGGGAGGATGAATTTCCTGCGCGAAGGAAATATTTTTTGTCCACGTGAATAAGCAGCGAGAAGGGCGTTTTTGTACGGATTGAATTCGGTGATTCGTGGATGACTCGGTTCGCCATTCATTTTTCGTCTATAATTCATTTATTCTAGCTGGCATGAAGAACACCGGGGCAGTAATTCACTTCGTTTTTATCGTCGCATGAATTATTTATAAACCCGCTTTACCGTTACACGCCACGTTTCGCTGGACATAGTAAAGCAGACGAATTCCACCGTGACTCTAGAGTTCGCCAACTTAACTCTTTAAGCATTGTTCCCGATGATGTTTCTTTGATCGAATGAAATTACTTTTTCGTTTTGTATGCATCGGGAAGGAGCATTTAATTAGCAGTCGAGATGCGTCTTAGATTTGCCGGAGACTTAAATCACTATTTAACGAGAAGTCGAAGACGTATTAGCTGAAACGTAGCGCAGACAAACTTTCAAAGTCGATTCCTACCGAAACAGGAGTTCATAGAAACTAACTGCCTCGCAGTATCGAACGAAACCCATGTAAGAAATCATTACTTTCTTGATTACGAACTTCGCTCGGCTTCCATATCAGAATTAAACTTCTCGTTTCAACGACTGCCTAAACCGTACAATGAACCCGAGTTAAAAGAAACACGTTTCAGTCGAAATTGATATGCTATACATATCGAGAGACCGTCCATTTGATTAAAGTGGAAACGTATACATTTAAAAAAGTATCTCGAGTGCGTTTGCTTTATATTAAATTACATACGAGTCCCAGCGTCGGAGTATGTGCACAGTTGTGGGAGGCGCATTCAAATACGGCAGCAGAGGAGATTCGAATGAATAGAACGGTGGCTAGGCCGCAACCGACATCTGATTTTCCTGGCCGGTTTCCTTCCAATCATCCGAGTGGATTGGTCGAAATTTTCCTGGAGCGTTATACACATTCCAATATTCATGCGTTCCCTCTCTCTCTCCCCCCCTCTATCTGCCTCCCACCCACTGACTGGATGCATTCGGTTCGTGCATTCCGCTGCACACGATCGACCGCGCCGCACATAATGTTACCCAAATGCATCGTGTATGCAATAATATTCTTTTATATCGCTCCATTCGCGTGGTCGAAGCTCCGCTCCCTTTCGTCCCCGTTCGAAAATTTTACATTTCTGCCCGACGCGACACGACGAGGCGACGTTAACGTTGACCCGGCCCAGGTGTCAGATCGCGGCCGGGGATAACGAGGAAATAATGCGCCACCGACACGGGACGCGTGAAAACATATTTGTTTAAGGAAAAACACGGCTGGGAAAATTCGAAGTTACCGTAATAAAACGCTTTCGCTGTTCGCGGTTAAATGGGTGTTGCGGAATGAAAAATCAATGCCGGATAAAGTTTTAATTGCTGTCGAGCTCTCAGTTTTTATTTATCATCCGCACAGCTAGTTTCGCACGGTACGCATTTACCACGCGCATTTGTAAAAATTTATTTTTTTTCCACCTCGGAACCTTCCACGAGCTTTGTACGTTCTCTCACCGAGTTAAAGATGTATTGGCTATACCGTCAATCGCAAAAGTTTATGTATTTTAGAAAAACGCATTTCCTCTAATCAAAAAGAAATCAGACGACGACGACGAAAAAATAAAAAAATTTTTTCTTGTCAAAATTTCGAAAAGTGCTTCAAATGAAAGTTGT